CTTCCTTCCCTCCTTCCTTCCTTCCTCCCTTCATTCCTTCCTTCCTTCCTTCCCTCCTTCCCTCCTTCCTTCCCTCCTTCCCTCCTTCCCTCCTTCCTTCCTTCCTTCCTTCCTTCCTTCCTTCCTTCCCTCCTTCCTTCCTTCTTTCGGTCCTCTTTTATTCATTCATTTCCTTCCTTTCTTTTTTCCTTTTCTTCCTTCCTTCGTTCCTTTCTCTTCCCTGTCTTCCTCCCTTCATTTCTCTCTCTCTTCTCTTCCCTGGGACTTGAACTCAGGGCCGCCCTCTCTCACTGGACGTTTTCCCCTCAAGGCTGGCGCTCTACTCCTTGAGCCACACCTCCACTTTCAGCATTTTGCTGCCTCCTTGGAGATAGGAGAAGCTCACAGACTTTTCTGCCCTGGTTGGCTTTGAACTGCGACCCTCAACATCTCAGCTCCTGAGTCGCTGGGATTACAGGCGTGAGCCACAGCGCTCGGCGGCCTCTTTGGACCAGGTCGGGGCGGGGTCTCCACCTCCTTCATGGCCAGCACCCCTCAAATACCCCGACTTACCCCTCTCACGAGCCTAAAATGTCCCCGCGCATGCGAATGTTAACATAGTGATCTTTTCTTATGTTTTTTTTTCCAGTTCCCCTTGGGAGAAAAAGTCATCAAAGCGCTGGCTTTGAGGAGACACGTACGCTGACACTCCAGATCGGGGCTGCTCCACCGCCCGTCGCTTTGACAAGAAGAGTAGAAAAACGTTGAGCCCACACTGCCCTGGAAACAGAGGGAGGCGTCGTCAATTCATTCACAAAAAGACAAACATGAAGAAAGCACCCACAAATGAGATTGAAGTGGGTGGGTCCCGCCTGTCATCCCAGCTGCTCAGGAGGCTGAGAGCTGAGGATCACAGTTCGAGGCCAGCCCAGGGAGGAAAGGCTGTTTTTGTTTTTGTGTGTGTGTGTTTTTCGTTTGCTTGTTTCTTGTCGGTCTGGGTCTTGAACTCAGGGCCTGGGCGCTGTCCCTCAGCTCTTCAGCTCAAGGCTGGCGCTCTACCGCTTGAGCCACAGCGCCACTTCTGGTTTTCTGGTGGTTCCTTGGAGATCAGAGTCTCACGGACTTTCCTGCCCGGGCTGGCTCTGAACAGCGATCCTTTAGATCTCGGCCTCCTGCGTAGTTAGGATGACAGGCGGGAGCCACCAGTGCCTGGCTAGAATAATATTTTACCTGCACGATTTCGAATCCATCCACACAGGAGATTTTCACCACATCTTTGAACACATATTTGGCCTTTTCCGGCTCCCATATGGAATTGGCTTTGACTTCTTTGGGACATGGGATGGCTTGGGAAAAAATAAAAAACCAGAAGTGAAACTTTACTACATTACTAGGGAACACTGTCTTCTGGCTCAGTCTCAAGCCTCCCACTTGGCCTCAGTTCCCAGACTAACATCTTATCATTCTTGCTCACCGAGGGTGCTTTACCGCTTGATCCACGCCCCCAGTCCAGGTTTTTACTGGATAAGCAGAGCCAGAAATCCCTCAGACTTTCCTACCTGGGCTGGCTTGGAACCTTGATCCTCAGATCTCCTGAGTCTCTAGGATGACAGGTGGGAGCCACCAGGGTGCCAGCCACTCTACCTATACATTGTTCCAGAGCTTTCGGGACAATGAGAGGTCACTCACGGTCACCGTGATAGCGAAGCTTCCAGCCTTTGCTCTCTCCTGTGAGGTCAGTTTGAAAGATGACATCCAGAGTATTACTTCCGGTCTCGATCACCAGAGGCCCAGGAAATCCATGACCGCAGTAAGGACCGTATTGTTGTTTTCTAGACACAAACTGAGAGAGAGAGAGAGAGAGAGCTGATATTGTTAAGTGAGAACCTACTAGAAGGAAATAAAAAGGCTAAGCCAGGCTCTGTGGCTCCCGCCTGTCATCCCAGCGACTCAGGAGGCTGAGATCTGAGGATCGTGGTTCAAAGCCAGCCTGGATAGGAAAATCCATGGGCCCCTTCTTTCCATTTACCAGCAAAAAAGTCGGAAGGGGAGCGGTGGCTCAAGTGGTAGAGCGCCTGCCTTGAATGAAATAGGTCAGGGACAGTGTCCAGGCCCTGAGTTCGAGTCCTGGGACTGGCACAAAAGATCAAAGAAGTGACTCATCCATCACCCACCACTAAATTGTCCTGGCAGCTTCCGTCGGCGTCGGCGGGCTCCACATCAAAGTCATCTCTCCTCATGGTCACCACTACCTGGAAGCCCTCCTCCAGCTCAATCCGGTACTCACACCTGGAGTTCTCGGGGTACGGACTGGGATAATTGGGGCTCGTGATCTCTCCCTCCAGGGCTGTGAACACGTCCCCCGTGCAATTGACTAGAGAGAAAGAGAAAAGCAGAAGAGGATATACGGGGAGCCGTGTTCTGTTATCTCTTCTGGAGGCTGAGATGTGAGGATCTGAGTTCAAGGCCCGCCCAGGCAGGAAAGTCTGTGAGCCTCTTATTTCTCATGGACCAACAAAGAGCTGGACGTGGAGCTGGATCTCCCAGTGGTAGAGCGCCAGCCTTGGGTGAAAAAGAACAGGCCCTGAGTTCAAGTCCCAGCAATGGTGTGAAATGAATACGAAATAAAGACAAAAGGAAGTAAATGAACTTCTGGATTGGCTGTCTGTTCCCTGACCGCCATGCTTCTTTGGAGAAGAAGCCCAGTGGGTTTCCATCATCTGGGTTAAGATGGAGGCGTTCACGGTCATGAACGGCCCCAGGCATCTCTGTCCCTCCTCCAGCTACTCACGGGCCCTGGGAGCTGGTGCTGTGTGGATTGGATCTAAAGCGTCTCCAGAAATCTAAGGGGCCTGTGGTACAATTGAGAAGTGGTTAAAAACCTCCAGGGGGTGGAGCCTAGCGGGAGGAAGTTAGGCCATTGGGGGTGTGGCCTAGCGGGAGGGAGGTAGATCATTGGGGGTGTGGCCTAGCGGGAGGCAGTTAGATCATTGGGGGTGTGGCCTAGCGGGAGGCAGTTAGGCCATTGGGGCGGGGCCTAGCGGGAGGAAGTTAGGTTATTGGGGGCGTGTTCTCAGGACACTTCCTTCCTTCCTTTTGCTTCTGGGCTGCGGAGGTCAGCCAGGACACACTGTACGGCCCAAGCTCAAGGCAGGGACTCACCACCAATGACCTGAGCGCCTCCCGCTAGGCCCCGCCCCTTCCTCTCCCTCTCTGTCTCTCCCTCCTGCCCCTTCCTTTTTTGCTTGCCTCTCTCTTCCTCTGACTCTCTCCCTCTCCCTCCCTCTGTCGGTCTGTCTGTCTCTCCCCCTGCTTTCTGGCCACCCTGAGGTGCACAATTCTCCCCACCATGATGCTCTCCCTCTCCACAAGGACCCCCCGCAATGGGATGGGCTACAACCAGGAACCCCTATCCCCAAAACCAGGATCCCACCTTGGCTGTGCTATTTCATCGCAATCCTGGAAATCTGACAGACACAGCGACCCCTCCTCCCCTCCTGCGGCTCCCCTGGAGTTTTTGGGGTAACGGAGCAAATGGTGGGAGAAAAAGCAGGCTTTTCTGTCCATCCCACATACCTCTGTCTTGTATATTGCTCTTTCTTGGAATCATTTGCTTTCCATATGGCTTTTTTTAATATGCTGTTATTGTTTGTTTGTTTTGCCAGTCCTGGGGCTTGAACTCAGGGCCTGGGCGCTGTCCCTGAGCTGCTTTTGCTTAAGGCTGGCGCTCTACCACTTGAGCCACAGCGCCACTTCCGGTTTTCTGGTGGTTCATTGGGGAGAAGAGGCTCATGGACTTTCCTGCCTGGGCTGGCCTCCAACCACGATCCTCAGATCTCAGCCTCCTGAGTAGCTGGGGTGAACGGATGCAGACCACACGGGGCTCACCTCCACAGTTCTTCATGTCATCGTAGAGGAAGTATTCCGGGGGACAAGAGCAGAAGTAGCCACCTATGAAGTTGTTGCAAAAGTGACTGCAAGGGACATCCAAAAATTCCGTGCACTCGTCCACGTCTACACGCAAAACACAGCAGAGAAAGAGAGGTTGAGGGCAAAAGACTTGAAATGAGCCCCGAACTAAAATCAGTTTAAGAGTCAGGAAATGTAGCAAAGACTTATTGCTGGACGCTCTTCACCAAGTCAGGTGCTGTGGCTCCTGCCTGTCATCCCAGCGACTTAGGAGGCTGAGATCTGAGGATCGAGGTTCAAGGCCAGCCTGAGCAGGAAAGTCCGAAAGACTGTGATCTCCAATGAACCACCAGAAATCTAGAAGTGGTGCCGTGGCTCAAGGGGTAGAGCACCAGCCTTGAGTGAAAGAGCTGAGGGACAGCGCCCAGGCCCTGAGTTCAAACCTCAGTACCACCTCAAAACAACATACACACAAAAAGATAGTGGCTTCGTTTGTTTTGACTTCCCTTGGTTTTTGCTGTTGTTTTGTCTTGTTTTTGTTAGTTCCGGGGCTTCACCTCAGGGCCTGGGCGCTGTCCCTCAGCTCTTCAGCTCAAGGCTTGCGCTCTACCACTTGAACCTCAGCGCCACTTCCAGCTTTTTCTGTGTAGGTGGTAGTGAGGACTCGAACCCAGGGCTTCACGCACGCTAGGCGAGCGCTCTACCCCTGAGCACCTTCCCTTCCTTGCGTTCTTATGGAGATAAAAATAACTGCCTCGTAGGAATGAGTTCAGCATGATACTACTATAACCCCAGTTACTGCCGCCAGGCTCAATTCATAGTGGATCTTAGTACGTTGCTGTTTATTATTCTACCATTTATTACTACCATCATCATCATCACGAAGATACAATTCTATGTTGGAACCTCACAAAGACAATCACTGGAAGGAGCCAGGCCAAGTCAATACATCATGAGCGTTTATCATGTATGTGTGCGGTTGCACATGCCTGTAATCCCAGCACCTCAGAGACAAGGCGGGAGGGAATCACAGGGTTGAGTGCCAACCTGGGCTCCACAGCAAAGCCCTGTCTCACACCAACACACCATCCGCTCACTTAATGTAGTGTGCTCTATCTTTCTACTCCCGACCTCCGCTGGACCGGTAGGTGGGTGCAGATGCGTCATCTCTTACCCTCGGCCACATAGTAAGCGGCAAATCCTGTAAATCGCTCTTCATTGGAGAAGTCCGACTTGAAGGTCACCTGGAGTTTGTTGTAGGGGACCCGGAATTCTGCCACAATGGGGGAGTCGGCACTCTTTCTGGGTCTCTGTCCACAGAGCTTTCCTTCTTGGATTCCTCCGGACAGTATCTACAGAGGAGCATTCAAAAGAAGTCAGGAAGGCCGGGCACCGGCGCTCTCGCCTGTAATCCCAGCAACTCAGGAGGCTGAGATAGGCGGATCGCAGTCAGCCCCAAAGCCACGGGTGGCAGGAAAGCCCTTGAGACTCTCATCTCCAATGAGCCAGCAAAAAGCCAGAAGTGAATGTGTGGATCAAGTAGTAGAGCACCAGCCTTGAGCATAAAGCAGTTTGGGGACGGCGCCCAGACCCCCGCGCCTCTTCTTCCTGGGTGTATAATATACCTGCACGAAGTCGTACTCGCAGTTTTCAGACAGCTCGAGGTCCAGGTGGGTGAAGTAGAGGTGAACACCGAACCCGTCGGGAACTTCTATGTGCCAGGATGTGTCCACCTCGTTGGGGTACGCCTGGGGATAGTTGGGGGACAGGATCTCTCCATACATGGGGAGTCCCGCATTCACCCAGGTGAACACAGAAAACAGAGCGATGCACCTGGGGGGGAGGGGGAGATGGTACAGTGAGCCCCCAAGAACCTGGTGGAGAAATGGCAGACAGAAAGGATCGGGGGGGGGGCGCTGTCCCTCAGCTCTTCAGCTCAAGGCTGGCGCTCTACCACTTGAGCCACAGCACCATTACTGGTTTTCTGGTGGTTTATGGGAGATCAGAGTCTCACGGTCTTTCCTGCCCAGGCTGGCCTTGAACCGTGATCCTCAGATCTCAGCTTCCTGAGTAACTAGGATGACAGGCTTGAGCCACCAGGGCCTGGCTCACACTGCATTTTCAAGTCACAACTGGCGCTCTACCACTTGAACCACGCCTCCAGCCTTAGGTGCGAGTTTTCAAAAGGCCAAGCCGGGCCTTCGCTGGCTGGCACCCAGAATCCTAGCTACTCAGACATTTGAAACTAGCTTTGGCAGGAAAGCCCAAGGGACTCCACCTCTGATTAAACCAGCAAAAAGCTGGACTGGAGGCCTGGGCCAAGTGGTAGAGCACCCCGCTGTGAGTGGCAAAAGTCAGGCAAGAATGAAAGGCTGTGAGTTCAAGTCCCAGTACTGGGACTCCCCTCCCCACCTCCCCACTCCCCCCCAAAAAAGAGGCCTAGAACAAAGCAAGAGCCCCCCAAGATTGGAGCCCCAGTCTTGAGAAGCAGGGAAGGGAGCTGGTGAGTGATCTCGGAGCGCTGAGCACTCACCACGTTTCTAGAGAAGCGTCCATGGCTCCCGGCTGACTCTTGGCGCCTCTTGATGACCCCCCGCAGCAGACACCTGCAAGGGGTTCCTCTGTGTCACCATCATGAGAGCCACACGTAGCTCCGGCCACGCTGGCTGAACACGTGTCCCCCACTCCCCCCACGCCTCTGTACCCCCTCCCAGATCTTTCTCCCCAAAAAGTCTCATCCCCCCATATTTCTCTTGTTGTCTGTGTCTGTGCTAGGGCTTGAACTCAGGGCCTGGACGCTGTCTCTGAGCTTTTGTGCTCCAGGCGGGTGCTCTACCACCTGAGCCACAGCTCCACTTCCGGCTTTTTGCTGCGTCCTTGGAGATAAAGAGTCTCACAGGCTTTCCTGCTCAGGCTGGCTTTGAACCGTGATCCTCATATTGAGCTCAGCCTCCTGAGAAGCTGGATGACAGGCGGGAGCCACCGACTGTTTTAATTCATTGCAATCACACAGCACTGGTTTGGGGGGAGGGGTTTCATTTTTGTTTTTTTTGCCAGTCCTGGGCTTGAACTCAGGGCCTGGGCGCTGTCCCTGAGCTTCTTTGGCTTAAGGCTAGCGCTCTACCCCTTGAGCCACAGCACCACTTCCGGCTTTTTCTGTGTCTGTGGTGCTGAGGAATCGAACCCAGGGCCTCATGCATGCAAGGCAAGCGCTCTACCACTGAGCCACCTGCCCAGCCCCAAGACAGCACTCTTGACTATGCTCTTTCTGGCTGCTTCTCTTGGTATCTCAGAGGCCTAAAAGAAGAATTCCCTTCTTCAGAGACAGGAGGGCGAAGGAGAGGAATGGAGGGGAGAGAAGGGAGGGAAAGAAGGAAGGGAAGGAGGAAGGGACTCTGAGAAAAGGGAAGGAACAACTGAGAAACTCTTACCATCCCATGAATCAGCAAAAAGCTGACACGGAGCTGTGGCTCAAGTGGTAGAGCACCAGCCTTGAGCAGAAAAAGCTAAGGGACAGCGCCCAGGCCCTGGGTTCAAGTGCCAGCTACCAACACGCACTAATAATAACAACAATGCTGAAACATTCTCTTTCCGATCCTCCATCTTGGCCTCCAGCCTTGCTCTGTGAGGATCTGGGCCTTTCCTTCGCCTTCTAGAAAGACTCTGCGTTTTATTTATCAAGCTTTTACCTTTCGCCGAGGAAGGGCCAGTACTTCAGTCCTCTCTTGCAGCCCTGGGCATGCTGAGAAGCCCCGGGGGTGGCTGGGAGGGGCGGGGCGGGGCCTGCAAGGCTCCACCCACTCTGCTGCCCCGCCTCTGTCCCCAGCTCCTTTCCCCCCAGTGAATGTGGCTGGTCAATCCCCCTCCTCCCCAGCCAACCAGTCAGCCTTGATCTTGAGTTCCCCCTGCTGTTAGAACAAGAACTTTGTGGGTGATTTTCCCCCCACACCCCCCCAAGCCTGAGATAGTTTCACCCACCAAGCCAAAAGACAGGGAATGCACGAATGGGGAATTTCACCAATTGCCCAATTCTTGTTCTTGAGCCAAGGGTGTGTGTCGAAGTTTTCCCAGAAATCTGGTGATTTGTAGGAAAGAGAGAGAGAGAGAGAGAGAGAATTGATAGGAAGAGAGAAAAAGCCAAATGCACAAAGTCCACCCCTAGCTCTGAGCTGGGAGCTGATGCCTGTAATCCCAGCTGAGATCTGAGGATCTCGGTTCAAAGCCAGCCTGGGCAGGAAAGTCCATGAGACTCTTATCTCCAAAGAACCACCAAAAAGCTGAAGTGGCGCTGTGGTTCAAGTGGTAGAGCGCTCACCTTGAGCTGAAGAGCTCGGGGACCAGCGCCCAGGCCCAGAGTTCAAGCCCCACCACTGATCAAAAAAAAAAAAAAAAGGAAACAACTGCTTGTTTTCCCGAGACTGTGGGGAGTTCAGAGCTGCAGGAAGGTGGTAGTTTGAGGCCAGGCTTTCTATAAGCATAGCAACACCTTACCTTCACCAGCAGTTGAGTGTGGTGGTACATACCTATAATCCCAGCTACAGAGGAAACCTAACTCCAACGATCAAGTCCGCAGTGGTGGCTCCCGCCTGTCATCCCAGCTACTCAGGAGGCTGAGGTCTGAGAATCACAGTTCAAAGCCAGCCTGGGCAGGAAAGTTGAAGACCATTATGACTGGGCTGGGAAGAGTCTCTCAGACTTTCCTGCCCGGGCTGGCCTTGAACTGTGATCCTCAGATCTCAGCCTCCTGAGAAGCTGGGGTGACAGGCGGGAGCCACTGGTGCTCTGCTCCTGTGAGACTCTTGTCTCCAATGAACCACTCAAAACTTGGTAGTGGCGCTGTGGCTCAGGTGGTAGAGCGCCAGCCTTGAGTAAAAAAGAGGCTCAGGGACAGCGCCCAGGAGTCACACACAGCTCCTCTGGCTGACCCCGAGTGGCCTGCTTGGTCATCTTCATTACAGTGCTGAATGGGGCTCGAACTCAGGGCCTGGGCGCTCTCCCTGAGCTTCAGTGACTCAAGGCTGGCGCTCTTCCGCTCTAGCCACGGCTCCACGATGGGCATTTTGCTGGTTTGGTGGAGAAGAGAGTCTCACAGACTTCCCTGCCCGGGCTGGCTTCGAACTGCGATCCTCAGATCTCAGCTTCAACTCTGCACAGGTGGAGGCCATTGACCCCAATGTCAGACGGGTCCCTGGGATCCTCCAGCCAAGCTCCACCCAGGCAGGGACTCCAGGACACGAGGGGACGTGGGCGGAGCCTTCAGTGGGCGGGGTCTCCAGTGGGTGGAGCCTTCGGTGGGTGGGGCCTAGGAAAGAAATTGGATGATTTCAGGCGTGGTCCCCGAATGGGTGGGGGATTTGGTGGGTGGAGCTTAGGGAGGGACTTACTTTAGGGGCGTGGCTTTACATGGGTGGTGTCTCCAGTGGGTGGGGCTAAGAAATGTGCTTGGAGGTGTGGGCTTCAGTGGGTGGGTGGAGCCAAGGGGAAAAGTTAGGTGATTGGGGGCGTGGTTTCCCAGTGGGTGGGGCTGGAGGAGGGGCTTATGTTGTAAGGGTGGAGCCTTCAGGGTGGAGCTAGGGAAGAATTTTGTGCTTGGAGGTGTGGCCCTCAGTGGGTGGTGCCGTCGGTGGGTGGAGCCTTTGGTGGGTGGTATTTCCAGTGGGTGGGGCTAAGATATGTGCTTGGAGGTGTGGACTTCAGTGGGTGGGTGGAGCCTAAGAAATAAATTAGGTGATTAGGGGCGTGGTCCCACAGTGGGTAGGGCCTAGGGAGGGAATTGAGTGTGGCTTTATGTAGGCGGGGCCTTCAGGGGGTGGGGCCTAGGGAAGAAATTATGAGATTGGAGGCATGGCCCTCAGTGGGTGGGGCCTCCAGTGGGTGGGGCCTCCAGTGGGTGGGGCCTCCAGTGGGTGGAGCTTTAGTGGGTGGGGCCTAGGGAGACTCATGCCATTAGAGGCCAATCTTCCCATGGCTGCGGCCTTCAGTGGGTGGGGCTAGGGAAGGAATGGTGTGCTTGGGGGCGTGGCTCTCAGTGGGTGGGGCCTTCCGGGGCAGGGGCGTGGCTTTGCATGGGTGGAGCTTTCAGCGGGTGGGGCCTAGGGGCGGAAGTTAGGTCATTGGGGGCGTGGCCTTGAGAAGGTAGGACCCTGACCCTGTCTGTCTTTTGTGACCTGGCCACGATAAAGTGCTCTCTCCTGCCCGGCGCTCCAGCCCTGGTGTCCTGAGTCACCACAGGACCCTGTGCCCATGAACTGGCACCTGTGAAATCAGCAGCCAGGATAATTCTCTTGTTTTTCTTTTTTGCCAATCCTGGGGCTTGAACTCAGGGCCTGGGCGCTGTCCCTGAGCTCCTTTTGCTCAAGGCGGGCGCTCTACCACCTTGAACCACAGCGCCACTTCCGGTTTTCTGGTGGTTCCTTGGAGATCAGAGTCTCTCAGACTTTGCTACCCGGGTGGCTTTGAGCCGCGATCCTCAGGTCTCAGCCTCCTGGGTAGCTGGGATGACAGGCGGGAGCCACCAAGGCTCAGCTAAATCTTTCTCCTTTATAAATTGCACTATCTCAGCCAAGGGCTGGTAGTTCACAGCCTGTCATCCCAGCTACTCAGGAGGCTGAGGTCTGAGGATCGCAGTTCAAAGCCAGCCCAGGCAAGAAAAGCCCGTGAGACTCTGATCTCCCATGAACCACCAGAAAAGTGGAAGTGGCGCTGTGGCTCAAGTGGTAGAGCGCCCGCCTTGAGCTGAAGAGCTGAGGGACAGCGCCCAGGCCCCAAGTTCAAGACACAGGACCACCACCAACAGCAAAAAGCAGAGCTTGCGGTTAAGTGATGACAAAATGGCCACTACCATTCCAGTAGCCAAAGTCATAAGTCACCAGGCAAAATTCTTATCCCAACTTCCGTTTATTCCAGCTCCCAGTTTGGAGTTTGATTGCTATCACCCAGAACATTCCAAACTTCTCACTTCTCACAGCCCACAGCAAACCACCTTCCAGGTTTTCTGGCTCTGAGTCTCAGTGTTATTTAGGGATTTCCAGTAACCTGGTGTTGAACGCACTAATTCACTTTATCTTTGGAATTTTTCCTTTTAAGGATTAGCCTGGAGTTTTTGGGGTTTATTTTCCCTCTACAGGGAGATCCTGCCTTTCCAGATTGGGCCTATTCTTCATCTTCAGTCATTTTGTTCTGTTTCTAACTTCACATTTTAGATTCGTTTGCAGGAGAGGAGAGGTCTTAACTTGGCGCCTGTCATCCCAGCTGCTCAGGAGGCTGAGATCTGAGGATCGTGCTTTGAAGCCAACCTGGGCAGGAAAGTCCTTGAGACGCTGATCTCCAATGAACCACCAGAAAACCAGAAGTGGAGCTGTGGTTCAAAGTGGTAGAGTTCTAGCCCTGAGCTGAAGAGCTCAGGGACAGCGCCCAGGCCCTGAGTTCAAGACTCAGGACCAGCACACACACACACACACACACACACACACACACACACACACACGAGAATGGTCATAATCCATCAGTGAATACCTAGATTAAGGCCATTTTCTCTCTTTTTTTTTCCTCCCATGAAATCTGTGATTTGAACTCAGGGCCTGGCCGGTCTGTCAGGTAGCTCTACTCTACTCCGAGCCCCACCGTATCCCATAACCTTTCCTGAAACGCAGGTTAAAGCCATTTTTTTAATACCTTAGAATCCCTTCAATGGCTGATGAAGGATACCAGTATGCTACCAAACATGTATCTGAAGGCAGGTGCTGGTAGCTCACACCTGTAGTTCTGGCCACTCAGGAGGCTGAGATCGAAAGATCACTATTAAGCCCAGGGAAAGAAATCTGGGAGACTTCTTACCTCCAATTCATCAGCAAAAAGGAGGAAGTGGGGCCGTAGCTTAAGAGGTAAAGGGTCAGTGGCCGGCAAAGAAGCCCAGCAAGCTGCCAGGTGGCGAGTTCAAGTCCCAGTACAGGTGTGAACGTATATGATTCCTGTTGGCCTTTTGGGGGACGTCTGGGTCTATTTCCAGCCAGGCACAAGCCCTGGCCATGCTAATGAATGTCGTTCTTATTCATGGTGATTTGAATAGCCCCACCCACCCGGAAGTTAGGCGGCCAGCCGGATGCGGTCCACATCGCTGCGCTATTGGAACTTTGATCAACACGGGGTCTCGCTCCCCCTGGCATGAAAGTCGGTAGAACTGTGAATTAAAGCAGCGAGTGTGAAGCACGGGCAGGGAGAAGGTCGTAGTGGTGGTGGTTGTTTTTATTTTAAGCACGTGGACTGGGGATACAACTCGGTGAACAGGACACTTGCTTCGCAGGCGGTGATCAGGGCGTCATTCCCCCCCAAAACCTGAGTGACCAGGGAGCGTTTATGAGCTAGTTCATTAGTGCGTGCATGCGTGCGGCAGCCCGGCCTGGACTCGGGCCTGCGCTTTCTTGGTCACAGGTGGTGCTCCACGGCTTGACCCAAGCCTCCAGCCCAGCCTTTTGCTGCTCGCTGACGAGTCTCAAGGACTTCCCAGGCTGGCTTTGAACAACGATCCTCAGACCTCGGCTTCCTGAGTAGCCAGGGGACGGTGGCTTGCTGTCTCGTTTATTTTTTTTTTGCTATTCTTCTGCCACCAGATCCTGGCAAGAAGTGGGGGAAGGGAGGAGGGGGAGGAAGAAGCGTGGGAGGGAGAGGAGGAGGAGGGAGGGGAGGAAGGGGGAGGGGAGGAAAGAGGAGGGGAGGGAAC